GATGGGTAATCACTATCCATGATGCTCTCAAAAAACTCACACATGTTATATCCAGGAAGTCGGAAGTGTCCCACAAGAACCCCTTGAACTTGAAAAACTTGCAATAAGAGATACCCAAGATTAGTAAGACCACCCATCAGATTCCACGACTGAAGGAGACACTTGTAATTTTATTTTCCATTAAGTGAAGCCTTTGATGCAAGTCAAAATGATGTGCTAATTGACATCCTCTAAGGCCGTCAAAATAGCTTTGCCTAGTCTGTCATTAAGATGTCTGGTATACCAATCGACGTTTCCTGTTATTACCTAAATGTCAACCTAATGGCTTGATTGATGAAGCAGATGATGAGGATGTTATCAGTCACCTTGGTTGAGCCAATCTGAGAGGAGGTCCAAAAACTGTTGAAAGTCGGCTACATTTGAGAGGTATAGTACCCAATATGGGTGTCAAATCTTTTCATGACGCATAAATTAAATAGCAGCTGGAGAATGTTTGTTGACTTCACAAATTTGAACACTACTTGCATGAATGATAGCTGCCCCTTACCATAGTAGACAAGCTCGTAGATGTAGCAGTCAGCCATTCAGAAATGAGCTTCCTCGATGCCTTCTTCAGCTACAAACTAAATAAGATGCAACCAATCAATACTAAAGAGATTTCATTCATCACTAGCAAGTGAGTGCATTATTATATTGTAATTCCCTTTGAGCTGAAAATTTTTGGCACTACTTACAAGTGCATGATAGATGTTTTTTTGCTAAATAGAAAGAAAAAAAATTGAATTATATGTGGATGATATCTTAATGAAAAGTAAAACACCCAATCAACATAAGAAATATTTAAAACAAACATTTGAAACTTTAAGAAAAATTAATATGAAGATCAATCCTCTTAAGTATACATTCACAATATCAACAGACAAAATCTTAGGCTTTATCCTAAACCCAGAGAGAATAAAGGCTAACCTGATAAAGGTTTAGACACAAATCAACATGTCATCTCCCTGAAATACCAAGAATGTCCAAATATTGACTGGTCGGATCATGGGCATGAGTTGGTTCATCTTAAAATTGGGTCATAAGCATGTTGATTTCATTAAAGCATTGAGGCAAGTGACGAATTTTATCTGATCAAATTAATGTAAATAAGCATTTAGAAAATTTTATCTCATCACCACTCCTTCAAAGCCCAAAACCAAATGAAGAACTCTCCTTGTACTCGAGAGTCAGACCCCAGGCCATCAGCTAGGCTTTAGTCCGAGAGGACCAAAGGAAGCAGTTCCTGGACTACTATGTTAGTTGAGTCCTCAGAGGAGCTGAGCTCGGGTATCTAAATATGGAAAAATTAATATTCTCTCGTTATTTCTATTTGCATGCTTTGCTTTACTTCTAAATGTATTCGGTCAAGTTCAATGATGCATGAAAAGTTGTGGTGAAGCAAGTCAGTCAAATCACACAAATATATATATGTCAAGTAATAATGCGGTTAAGGAGTATCGCGTATTGATGTCATGAGAAAAGTGTTAAGAATTATTCTGGATGATGCATCTCTAGTTTAATACACTTCTAAATTTAGTTTAACGTGATCACAAATAAAAGATGGTTTTCTAAAATCCTACTCAAGAGCAAAAAAATAAAAGATATTAATGCTAAAAAATACAAAAAAATTGTAGTAGAGAAATCTTACGGTTTTTCAAGGTATGTGAGCTCGCGTCTTTGTGATTTAAGTAGTGTGGAAGTTCGTGGTTTCCCTATACTTTCCCCTACGTGATGGTTATCAACAGGGATAGAAAGTCCTCCTTATGTTTATGTTTAGGTCAAAATAAAGCTAGAATCCATAAAATTGAGACTTCCTCAATCCCCATGACATTCAACAGATTTGTTATGATCCCCTTTCTAGATTGCAAAACCCGAATAAAATATGTCTATTGTTACCTGGATTTTGTGGTTAATCATATTGTTTCGCTGTGCAACATGAGGGAGAGATAGAGCTACAGGTTTGGTCATTGGAGAAACAGGAACCTAGGGAGACATTGGTGAACTATATTCTGCATTGATGAAAATATCAACATGAACTATGAACCACAATTACAAGAATAGCATGCAAATGAGATTCTTCTTAAGAGTAACCATCGGTTAGTTGCTTTTCTTTTGCAAGGATTTACGATAAAAACTTTTGAAATTTTACTCATCAAGGCAACCAGTTTATAAGAGGATGCTAGACAACTAACTCTCCTAGAAAAGTTTAACAAATTGAAGCGACATAAAGTATTTGAGAAGAAGTCGGGGATAATATAAGCAATTGATAAGGGAAAGTGATCAATATAGATACAACCAAAATAGTCCTCTCAACAATAACAAAACTATAGACCATATCAGACAAGAAAATTCAACAACAGTCGTCAAATCAACAACCTTGACTATATCAGTAGCAGACATAGCATCGATACCAGAGAACAGATGGTCGAAAATGTATCTCTATAGGGGATTGGCTAAATGCCTATCCTTTCAAGATTGAGAGAGTTGCAAAGATATTTAGAAATTGCTGGAAAAGCTATAATTTAAGTTATCTGAGCCTAAGAAGGTAGAAGAGGTTGAAATGAATGATTATATGAGATATTTCCCATACCATAGATTGATAAAGCACACAATTGAGCATTGCTTCAGTTTCAAATAGGGTTGGCAAGAAGGCTGGTTAAGAATTTTTTGTGCTCGATATATAAACATGCTATATACGAACAAAAATTTGTTCATTCATGTTCGGCTCGCTTTGACTCGAAATAATTAAATTATATATATATATAATTTTTTTACAAGAATAGGAAGGTTTCTAATAAATTAAAATTACTAATTAAAAAAATAAAAAAAATATATTAAATTATATTTAAATGATGGTTTAATATAAATAAAAATATTTAAATCTCGCCCCAACCCTCAACATCCCATGACTGCATGACTAGGGTTTTCAAAATGGTTTTTTGTTTGAGAACAACTCGTGTATGGCTTGCTAAGCAAAAGAGTCGAACATGAACAAATTTTTTTTTGTGTTCGAAATATAAACGAATCAAACACGAACAATGATATTTTTTAACGAACCGAACACGCACTAAGCCCGGGTTTGCTTGCGTTCGGCTCGTTTACACCCTTGGTTTTCAAGATTTTTTAGGGTAAAAGAATAGCTAATTGAACCTAGAAAAGTTTTTTTAGCATGATTTCAATCAATATAATGACTCCATTTAATTTGTTCAAGATTCAAGACAGTTGGGACTTAGTATGATCCAATCTTTCAAGAGAATCCTTAACAAGCAACAAGGACTTCCTCCGCAGTCATCTAAAAGAATTTAGGAGCATGTTAAATAGGTTCTTTTAATTGTTCTAGAAGAGAGCATGTTGGTAAAGTTGAAGGTGATCGATGAAGATCCCAACAGGAAAAGGGTAGACTAGAGGTTGTTATTACCCCTAGAAAGGTTGTTATGAACAAGGGAAATGAATCCCTTACTCTGTTGACTTTATATGATTTCTATTTTGTTCCTCTTGGGATGTATAATACTAAGATTCATGATTGTGACTACATCTTGTCTATTTTTTTTATGACAGTGTCGCTGACAATATCAATAACAACCAACCTAACTCTGATTAAAATCTCAATCCTAGAGATAATTCTTAAATCGCATCAGATCGTGATGGGCTAGCTAGAGAAGATAATTATAGTGTTGATAGTGATGTCAATATTTTCCACTTTTAAGGGACTTCTATAGCAATCAAACAAGAACCCGCAGATTTCAAAGATTCTCTTAGGGAGTCTTCTGGTGTTGTTGAAGAGGCTGCTCCAATTTCTCATTCGAAAGAGACAACTGAAGAAAATCTTCATGGCAGCAATTTACTATCTCCACAAATGACACATAAGGATAAGGTTGAACAGGTCATTGCTTTGAATGATAGTTCCCCCTATACAAGATTCCCCTCTTCAAGAAGAGCTTATAGAGGTACAAACAAACGTGGACTATAATGTCCAGGCCCACTCAAGGAAATTACCAGCTAAGTTAAGAATTTAGACAACATAGAAAGAGTAGTCGTTGCAAAATCAAGAGAAGAATAACATGGAGAACATGAGGGGCCGCTTCCTTACACTAGGGAGCCACTTTTAAAGCAGAAGAAGAGAAGAAAACTTGAGAGAAAAGGTTACGAGAGAAAGGAAAGTATTTCCACAAGTATTACACTTCTTTTTATAGGTCCGAAGTGAATCCCAACTATTGCAGGGCAAAATTGGACGTGGCAGTCTAGAAAACTCAAACATAGACGACTAGTTATTTTACATAATCATTACATATCTCCAACTCAACACGGAGTATGAAAGAAACTTATACATGGGTCTGAAGCCGCCTCAGGAGAGACATGCCCCAGCCAAACTAGCATCCGGAACAAAAATTCACCAATAGACCTAAACTGACCAAACCTATTGGACTCGGTCTAGGCTCGGAAGGCCCGCCACGAGCTAGCAAGCTCTTGTTGGAGAATTGATGTCATCTACTTCAACACTAAAATATCTTCTTCCAACAACACCACATAGGTTGATACGGTGTGCTCTTCCGCGCTCAATAGAAGGTTGCCAAGCAAACGATTCAACATACCAAACCAAAAAGGTTAATCGAATAAGGAGACGAACAACTCGCTAAATTAGGAGTAAACTAGATAGAGATTCGACTAATAACTATTTGGTCATAGTAACGATTATCTTGACGATTACAACAGCTGAGCGACGATAGAGAATTTCATAGGCATTATCGATATTTCACAACATTTTCCTATCTACTATAAATATAAGATAGTTTCATGTAAAGGGAAGACTTTTTTGGAAAAATGCACGAGACTATATTATTGACAGCCTCCCTCCTTTACACTCTATATTTTGGGTGTGATTCGCTCACAATTCTAGGTTTAACACTCACAAACAAGAAAAATGATATATAAGTTTACATCGAAGAGACAAATTAGCTCAATATTAAAAACAAAACAACTAATATAATCAACTTAACGTTTGGAACCAGGACTCAAATTATGCCCAAAAATTAGAAGGAAAAAAAAAAAGTTTGAAAATAAAAGTAGTACAAAATCAAAAGATGAAACCAATGGTTACCACTCAGGAGACTCCCCCGTCTCCCCCTTTGGGAGATGCCAATGGTGACACCTTTAGGTTTTTTTTATTAAATTGACGTCGATGTCGGCGCTTCCTTCCTTCAAAACCAAAGCTCATGTTTTTTTTTCTCCAATGCCATTCATTTCAATCAGAGCAAGGCTTATGCTTTATTCCCACAAATGGTGTGGTTGCCTATGTCTGATCGAGGTTAGCCAGCTTGAGCAATCAATTAACAACTGCAGCCAACGTGATGAGTCTTCGAAGAGGCAGAAGGATTTGTGGATACACCATTGTTTAAATACTCAAACTTGGATTTTTTTTGTGAGCAGCTTGCTGGTGGAATGAACTTCACGTGCAAGTCATATCTTACGCAAAGATTGTATATGACCTTATGCCTGTGACAAACATGGTCTAATTCAGCTATGATTTTTGATCAACGAAGTCATGGCGCTATGGGAAAGCTATAAAACTCTTCCATCAAATGTAAATCTACGGGTCCTTGACTGTTTATTTAGCATTTACTGTTGTCTTGACTAAAAAAGGTTATGAGAATATATTTTTTTTTTGAAAAAATGTGTAAAATCAAACTTATAGGCTGTGAGAATATATTTTTTTTTTTTGAAAAAATGTGTAAAATCAAACTTATTAAGAAAAAAAAAACACTAAATCAATAAGAATACTAAACAACTCTTTATTTTATATAAAACTGCAAATAAATTAAAAATAAAACAAACTAAAAGCAAAAACTAAAAACTAAAAAAGAATCAAATGACCCCTAAATTACCTATAGTTTTAAGATACTCAAACAAGTCAACCAAGTGCAGACGAAATACATAAGAAAAAAAACCTTTAAACCATGGAAATTTGATCAAAATGAGAATATGAAATTGAGAATGAAGTGCCTTTTCTCTAAGTAGTGACACTCATAATAAGATTGAAGTAGAGATTTTTAGCCACATATGAGGGAGTCAAAAGGGAACCACCCCCACTAAAGGTAATGTTGTCACTATGAAGCAAGCTAAATATAGCATACGAACTCATAAAGACTCTTAGAACCATTAAACTAGAGATCATTAAATATGAAAATAGATTAGCTATCTCCATTTTTTGCCTTTATGATATTTTTCAACCCACCTCAACCCAATTCAATCGTTAGAAACGTTTAAAGTTCTGCTGAGCTGAACCTTAGCATTTTGTGGGTTTGCATTAATGGAGCTTTGTTGGTTTACATTAGTGGAATGTTATAAGCAAATCAAGTTGTAAGTTTGTGTTGGCATCAATTTTTGGATGTCATAGGTGTAGAGTGTTCACCTGTGATCAACGAAATTTAGTTATCACGCCGCACACGAATTTGACTCGATTGGCCCGATCATCAGCGAAGTTTTCCGGAAGACCCCGAATCACGAAACGAACCACACTGATGCGTCTAGAACATTGACTTTAGTAAGAAATAACGTCCACTTCGCTGTGTACATTTCCGGCCTGAAATATGGGATATATATTATAATATTAATAATATCATTATTATTATAATATTATAATATTATACAAGAATAAATTAATAATATAAAAAAAGCCCCCCTCTCTCCCCTATTATCCCTCACGGTAATAATAAAAAAAAAACATTTCTCTCTCTCTTATCAACCCCATCCCTCTCCTATATATCTCACCTGTTAAAAAAAATAATAATAAAAAAAAGAAAGCATCGCAACTTTTCTCCCTGGATCGCAACCTCTCCCGCTCTCCCTTTCGGCCCGCTCTCCCTTTCGAGAAGGTTCATCCTTCTCTTACTTCCGCGAAAAAGAAGACCCCGCTAACTTCGCCGGATTTTCGCCTGATTTACGTCATCTCGCTGGCATTTACCCTGCCTTGGTGCTGTATTTTTCACCAGATTTTCTTCATCACACCGGCATTTACCTTGTCTGTGATGTATTTTTCACCGGATTTCCTTCATCTCGCCGGAATTTGTCTTGTCGGTGCTGTGTTTTTCACCAGACTAAAACGGTGAAGAAAGGCTTCAATTTTTTTGGAGTTTTCTCCCGCGCTTTCTTCGCTCCCGGTGCGCACCGCCAGCGAGCTAAGTCCTCCACTTCGTTGACGACTTGATACTTCGACGTCGCCGGGCAGCGAGCAAAGTCGTTGTTCGAGGAAGTGTGAGGGTCTTCCGCCTCGAGGGGAAGGCCTTCGCCGACGCTTCTTCCCGTCGGACTTATTCCATGCACCGGCATCCTTGTGGGTTCCCCTTTTCACCATTGTCGAGCGACCCCTGCTACGAAGGTATATGTGTCGTTTGCACTCATATGATTTTATCATTTATTTTGGGTATTTTGTGTCCCTCATTGCCTCTTTTATTGTTCTGTGCATGATCTGCAAGACAATTAGCGCACGGACTGGAGCACCGCCGGGGTTTGTCGGAAATGTGGGTTTTCCTTCAGCATAAAGAGAACGCTTCTGCAACCTTCGCGGTGGTGAGATCCCCTAAACTCCTAGCTAGCCTAGGTTTAGCGATGTCTAAGCGTGTGGGTTCGATCGCCCACACGGGGTGCGTGCACCGGCGAGGGTTGGCGCAACGATGTGTCTGTGTGATGGATCGTTGGTTTTTCTAGATCGAGCCGTTAGGTTAGGACTTCCTGTGCGTAACCAAACACCCCCCGTAGAGCCGAGTGTCTCCATTTTGTTGTGAGTATTAGCACAAATCCCGATGGGTCGGAGTCCCTCACTCATCCCGATTGGTCGGAGTCCCTCACTCTCCTTGCTTTGGGTTTCCCCAACTTTACTTGGAGAAGTTGGGAGGTCGGACTTGATAAAGTGAGAGAAGCTTTGTAGCTTTCTCGCTTTGCAAAGTCTGGAGGAGTTCACAAAATAAAAAAAAGCTTTATAGCTAGCCCATTTCGTGACGTCGTGGAAAATTTTCCCCTCGGAAATCCAGGGAGAAACTCCTCACATTTCCTCACCAAAGTAAGAGGCGGCGGTGGCGCCTATCAATGTCGCATATCAAAAGGTCTAAACATTAGGTTTCCTTGGTGATGTCGTTAGTACGAGCGTGACTCGCTATCATATGTGGTCATATGCATCTCATTATTTGCATGTGCATGTCTTGCATGTTACATATTGTATGTCATATATCGCATTTGCACTTGCACTTGCACTTCGCACCTTGCATTTGCACTTGCACCTGCACCACATGTGTCTTAATCGGTCCTCCCGGACCAGTCGTTACCATCTGTGTCTCGATCGGTTATCTCGAACCCGTCACATCACTTGTGTTTCAGTCAGCTACCCAAGCCCGGTTAGCACGACACTTTAGTTTGACCGGATGCTCCATCCCAATCGACCTATCGCTTGCTCCTTTGCATGTTGTGCATGTGCATGTATATGTTTGTTTGCATGATCGATATTGTCTACTTGAGTTGCATTCTTTCGGGTCACTGTCTTACCCGTATACCCTCTTTTCGGGCCTCTGCCGCTATGACATGCCTACCACTGGGTCACTGTCTTACCGGTATACTCTCTTTTCGGACCCCTGCCGCTACGGCATGCCTACTCTTTACAGATCACTGCCTTATCGGCATATCTCTTTGGGTTGTTGCCACCACGACATACCCATCTTCTTGGGGCCACTACCACTACGGTATGCCCACCTTTGTTTTTATTGTCTTATCAGCATATCTTTTGGGGTCGCCGCCACCACGGCATCGCCATCTTTCTGGGGCCCCTGCCATCACGGCATGCCTACTCTTTACAGGTCACTGCCTTATCAGCATACCTCTTGGGCACACTGCCACCACGGCATGCCCATCTTCTTAGGGTCATTGCCACTACAGTATGCTCACCTTTGTTTGAATCCCTACCCCATGGTGTAATCATCACTTGTGTTTTGATTAATCATATGCATTTGCATGTTTGCATGGACAGCGAGTCAAACCCGTTAGGAGAGTGACTCTCGTGTTGGTCGCGATGCCCTAACGAGCATTGTTTGTTGGGTCAATCCCAATGAGCAATAGGAGTTAAGTCATCGGGACTGACATGAGTATGATTATGCTAAGAATCCAATGAATCTAACTAGTGTCATCCCTTTTGTCACACTCTTTAGATTTTTTTGATCCTTAGGATGGGGCCAGTAAAGTGACCCCGTCAAAGTCATGTCATACCTAGACTTACCCCTCACTTAGATACTAGGTTAACCCACCTTTCGTTAGATTGTGTGCTAGGTTAGGACTTAGGGTGCTAGGTAGTCTTTTTGATACTTGGTTATTGTTCTCGGTTGGATTGGTTGCCCTAGACAGGTATCTTTCTTTTGCATTATGCTTGTGGTGTGTCTGTATGTTGCATATGTATGGTAGTGTGTTAGGGCGTTCTTCTGCAAGGAGTCATGCCTATTTATGTGCACACACATAGGTACCGTTATGGCGGGGAGCAAGTAATGATTTCTGACCCTTTTTTTTGCAGGTGTTATTAGCTCCCCCCACTTTTAAGGCATGGCTCATGACATGTTATGTGCATGTGAGTTTTCCCGCTGACACTTGTTTCTATGCATGATTGAGTCTTTTTCTTTTCTCTATGTATTTTTAGACACACTTGTGGTGTGTCTGTATGTTGCATATGTATGGTAGTGTGTTAGGGCGTTCTTCTGCAAGGAGTCATGCCTATTTATGTGCACACACATAGGTACCGTTATGGCGGGGAGCAAGTAATGATTTCTGACCCTTTTTTTTGCAGGTGTTATTAGCTCCCCCCACTTTTAAGGCATGGCTCATGACATGTTATGTGCATGTGAGTTTTCCCGCTGACACTTGTTTCTATGCATGATTGAGTCTTTTTCTTTTCTCTATGTATTTTTAGAGTCTAGGAGAGTCCTGTAGTAGAAATAAGGTACAGGCACGGGTTTCGAGACGTTAGCACGGGAACCACGTGGAGGGGACTAGGAGCAAATGCTCGTGCCCCGTATCTTAATTCTGCATTTTATATTGATGTATAGAATTAGGACCGGGAATGTATATGCGGAGTACGACCGCCTTTTTCTTTTCTGGAATATGTTGCCGACCCAGCGACACTGACCTGTTTATTATTTTGGTTTGACCTGTTTTGTTTTTTTTGTATCATGTTGCATGTCTGCACTTGCATGTGCTTTCTTTGTTTTCTTTCTGTGTTTTATCTAGGATTTCACGATACAACATAGGCTCATTAAGTGCTCTAAAATTGTAATTTTTCTACAAAATCCTAAATAAAATATTCAAGATAATTAAAATCTAGGATTAAAATATTCAGGATTTAAAAATTACCAGGATTTAAAAATTTTCAGGATTTAAAAATTACAACATTTACTTTCTTGCATATATTAATAGGGCATCCACAATACATAGGACTGTTCTAGATAACTGCATTCATATTTGCA